CCTGTAAATTCAGATTCAGGCCGATAAACGCTCCAAAGTTATCGTCAAGTAACCAAGTTATCCCACTTAAAAACACATAAATACCAATTACCGCAAAACAAAGCTTCCATTTTTGGAGAAATTTGGATTTGAGTTGAGTCGCTATACACCAGAGGCGATTGCTCTAAGACCACAAGGGAAGCTCAGCTTCCCCTAAAATGTCACAAAATAAGTGATCAAATACCGTATATGTGTGTACCTCCAATTGTGTGTACATGTCATTGACTAAATATGCAGTACAACACGCTCAACTTTTGTTCCGAATCAGCTTCTTAATATTACTGGTTACGATGCGACTCTCTTCTCATTCATTTCCGCAGCTTCACTGTGCTTTAAACTGTGCGGACGCTGAGCGTCTACAGCGCGGACGCTGGGCGTCTAGAGAGTTCAGAGCCCATTGTCCCAATGCATTGAAATGAGACGAGTCATTGGATAAATGCTGGTTTTGTCCCGCCCATCAGACGCTCAGCGTCTCTGGGAGTCTATGGACAGGGGGCGTTTATCAGCTGCCCCGGACGCTCAGCTTTTCTGCATGATGACTGGATGATCTGTCTGAGTCTGAATCTCTTTTTGATTGACAGTGAAATGAGCCAATCACCGATCTTTTGGTGTAGGCATCCGTGGGAGCATTTTTCAATTCTCATTCTGTTCTGAGTGGAACTGGAGACATCTAATCATTTTAGCGACACTCTTGAGAACGACTAGCGACAGATTAATCTTTTATTTCTGGTGTGTTTTACTGTAGTTGCTTGTGTTCACAGAATGACTTATATCACCCCAGTTAAGACCCTGGAAAAGACGCCTTGTTGGTATGACAGGGTCACAGATCATTGTTTTGTAAAGGAACGGAGAGTAGAATTCACGTATAAATAAACGGACACATTTAATGATATAGCCCGAAAATGAGCTTCCCCTCCTTGACAGACCAGCATCCGCCACTGCTATACATACACCCGTCAAATAAATCTTTCGATTGATCTATGCTGGCAGCGAGTAGTTTTTGTTTGACATTGTGCATACTGCATAGTAGTGTGGTTGGAATGCTTAATTGAAAGATACAAATCAATGATGAGCAGTGTCTTTTCATGATAGGGTTCAAAATTTGAATTCCTTCAGAGGCAAATAACATTTAAAACTTGGGGGTATCAGTTTGTGTAAGTGTGTGCGTGTGTGTGTGGGGGGGTTGGCTGTGTGCATCCCAACACGTATGCCCCAGTGTCTACGTTCACTAATGTGTGTTGGCCCCTCAGGCATACGTGTAGTATTGTTTTCGGTCTGACTGTGTGCGTGAGTTCGGCATGATTTGCAAGCATGGGAGAGGACTTGAGAGAAGACAATAGCCCTTCAAGAACTGCTACCAAAACCTGCTGCCAAAAACATTTTGACTGACACTATGTTTTTCACAGAGATCTATTCAACAGCTATTTTTGCTGAAGCCATTTTGTTGGACGCCTGTGATTGGCTGGGACGAATTCAGAGTGTACCCTGCCTACTGTCCAAAGAGAGCTGGGATAGGCTCCAGCACACCTGCAACCCGAGACAGGATAAGCAGTTTGGAAAATGGATGGATGGATGTATTTTGTTAGATGCATTTGTATGTAACACATTCATTACATGGAAATGGAGTCAGTGTGACCTTTTTGTTTGTTTGCTTTTACTGTACTACTGTACTATGTACTTTAGAAATAGACACACAAACAGATCTATCAAGCATGACAGCCGTTTAATAGTATGCTTCAAGTTTAGAGTAGGATTTTTTTCAGAAAGGTGACAGAGAAAGACGAGGAAGAAATAGAATTATTGATGACATCAGAGCTGCAATCTCGGACCACGTAATCAACCATCGAATGACACAAAGGAAAGACACTCAGTGGACCACATTTTATTCCCTCGCTTTCATTCATGACAATTAAATTGCTTGAGGATTTCACTGGTGGTGGAGGGGTGGGGTTGCTGTGTGTTTTGACATGGAAAAACACAGATTAGTGTTTGTTTTGATGTTCACAGTAAACAACTTGAATAAAAATACTTGATAATTTGGATACAGAATGATCACAAAAATATGACCCCATAGCCTACCTTGATCAGAGAGAAATCAAAGGCCAGATGTGTTTTTCATTCTTCCCATCAGTGTGTAGTTGGTGCATTGTGTGCTTACTAATATGATGGAATGTGTCAATTATTTGATTAAAAAGAGCATTTCAACAAAGGTTTGAAAAGTTAAGTAGGATTTATTTGCTTCTGCGAGTGAACCACGATATTTTGCCATTTTGCTGAAAGGCTTTCTTATTTGTGTGAAGAATTTTGCAAAAATAGCAAATAGTGACAAAAGAAATGTTCTTAAGGCATACGAATAAACTTTAACTAAACACAACAGGAAAAAAAAACAGCACATTGAAAAGCATAATAACAAATAACCAAACACAACAGACAATGTAAAAAATACATCAAATTTGAAAAAAACACATCAAATATTTACAGAGCATACCAAAAAAAAACCCAAAACAAATACCTAAACACAGCAAATGAAAACACTTCAGATGACTAGACACAAGCACATATTAAAAAAAAAACAATACAGTACATAACTACACACAACAGCATATGAAAAAAAAAAAAACAGCAATGAGTATAATCTTCCCCATTGACGCACCTCCCCCGGGAGGAAATGACGGTGTCTTTCATTGTTTGTCCATTTGCTGTTGTGTTTAATGATTTGCTGTTTTGTTTTGCATTTCAGGGCCACGGTAGTAAAATCACAGGCTTGAACACTGGAGAAATGGCAGGCGTACATCCCTGTTGACCTTTTCACTCGTGACTTTGTACAGGAACACAGTTGTTGATGTCAACGTTTTGAGCATGTGCACATGCGGGTTGTCACATACACAGAGATACAGGTTACTTGAAACCACAGTAGATTCACTGAAGCAAAGTGGGCTGTTAAGAAGTGAAGTGTAAATCTGGTGGCATTAAAGAGGTCGGTATGAGTATTATTTTTAGCTAAGGAAACTATGGTGGGAACGACCAAAATGTAAACGGCTCAAATTGATCACAAGCAATTTAGCGTTGGTCAACAGTTTGCCAATAACTGGTGTGGAAACAGGATTGTTTGACCTTTTGTACACTAGTATTTACTTTAGCAGTAGATAGAACGTGAACAAATACACGTATCTCTCATAGTCCCATCCCCTTTTTGAGGCCCCCCTTTAAAAAAAAAATCCTGAAACTTACATAAGGTTAAAAAAAACTTTCAGGCTAGGAATCTGAGCTCTGCCTTACTGCAGACCGCAGCAACCTTCCTCTCGTCTTCTCCAACAATATATCATTTTCTCTAGGCCAGGTTTTTTTTTCCCCCCAGGCTTCCTTTACAACCTTTTTCAGCCTGAAAGTAGGACAGAAAGAACTGAGAGACTGCAAAGAGAGAGCGAGAAACAAACCCAATGAGAAACAGATGTGTTCACTCTTTTAACAGATGAGGATCAATTACAAAGTGCTGGATGTCCTTTTTTCAGTCAGTGAAATCCGTTAATTTGGGCTATTGTTTTTATACATAAGACATACAATATATAACCTTGTGTCCTTCATTGTTCACACACTGCACCTATGTGATTAGCGGAACTTTCATTTGATGGTGAAATTACAAGCATCTAGTGCGAAACTGTGAGTTTTTTGTGACTTTTGACTTTTATGTGCGACTTTTGAAATAAGTCTTTCCTACCAATCCCCAAGTGAATGAATGCACGTTTCCGTATTGCGAACATGCATGAGTCTGAGAGAATAAACCAAAAAGGAGAAAGATAAATCAAAAGACAAACTGACAAATGCTCAGTCTATCAGGATTACCTCATTCTGACTTGGCTGGAACACTTAGTTCCAAGTCTTGGCAGGGAGTGTGGAAAGAGCGGAATTTAAAGACCCACGAGAAATGCAAAAAGCCGGAGTAAAAGACACACAAGAAATGTTGCAAATTGGGAGTGTTTGTGGAGAGGTGTCAGGTTGCTTCTGAGGAAGGCGTTCCTTGGTGTGGGGGGGTGCTTGCAGCCCCCTCACACTAAATTGTGTCGTCCTTAGCACACGCATAGATGTCAATTCTGATATGTACATGCTTTAAGTCATTGAAATGTAGATACACTGGAGAAACTATGAGGGGTTCCTCTTTATCCGCAACACTCTGGCTTTAAAATGCCACACAATCACGGAGTCACAGCCTTGACACATTAACTCACTGAACTCCACACACAAGGACAGGGACAGGGAGCACGTCAAGTTAATCGCTAACATGTTTCCAGCCCCCATTGCGAAATACTTGTGCAGAACGGGACAAGTAGAGCTTTCAAAGAGAAAGGGAGGGCTTGTGGTCAAAAGGGGCTTAACTCAGCACCGGTCCAATGGTATAAAACAGGAGCTCCCACACAGGCACAGTGTGGACATGCTGCTCCAGCATTGAGCCTCCAAACACCATCCTTTGCCCTCTCCCCTTTCCACATCACCACCAGCTGTACTTTTCCAGTCGACCATGGGAGTTGCCTACAGTGTTGGGGAGTAAGTGAAGAGCCTATTTGAGGACACTGAAGACATTTTTTTCACGGATTCTTAATACTTGCAGGTTGCATGTGTGTGCCGGAAGTGCATACAAGAAGGGAGATATTTTTGTCAACGCATGGTAGTTGCAGAGCAGATTGTTTGTATGGAATGACGATTGCATGTGCATGCATCAACCAAAGAGCTCTTTTTTTTCATGACTGCACAAGCAAAGTATGACTGCTGTGAAATGATGCAATGCTTCTTCAAATGTGTATGATTAATACTCAAGATATTTAAGTTGTACCTTATTTTTCTGAAACACGCATGTCTGAACAGATAATCTCAGTTTTGCTACAAGCAGTTTTCATTCAATACTTGGAGGCAACACTGCTATTGTAACTTTCACATTTTAACTTTGGTCACTGTAGTACAATCTATTTAACGTATGTGTAATATCTAATTAATAGGATATTGAAGCGATAGTTTTCATGAGGAAAAGTATCTGCAATTTAAGCTAAACTTCATATGGCTATTTGAACGAAGGCATTCACTGGTCACAATATTAGGTACCCCTACACAAGCTAATGAGATGCAATGAAATGGCCGAATCCAAAGCTCTTGTACTTATCAAGATAATACTACAGAAATGTATTAACGACTCTATGATGTGTCATTATCATGGTTGGGGAGATGTTACATATATTTAGATTACCTTATTTCGCTTGATGAGAGGAGAAATCTATTAGAAATACTTACCATGCTGCAGTGCCATGTAACAGTAACATTCTGAATGGCATTACACTGTGCAAGTGTACTTCATGCTGTGGCTGGAAAGTGTATATATTAACTGCTGGTACTTTTTTTTTTTTTTTTTTTTTAACATTCTGTTTTCTTTCTATTATGTAACCAGGCCCGCTGTCCTTCTATCTGTTTAGGGTTGACCACCTCTACACCTTCTTTGTACAATGGTCACCAGATATGTGCACAAACAGCAACAATAAGAAGAACAGCAAACCCCACTTTCAGAATCTGTGTCATGGAGGAAAGAAGAACAAGGGGCCTTCAAGTAAACAGCTAAGCAATCCTGCAGCAACAAATTGGGATGTAAGTGTTTCTGCAAACATGTTGGTATGTTACTTGATGTTTGTTTTGTTTCATTGCGGTCCAAAGAATCAGCGTTCATCCTGTAATCGCCAAATGTGTCCAGCTAGAGAACCTTTCAGCAATGTTGGCTTGGTCCCAGCCGTGGCAACTCCCACTCTCTCTTTATATGGACATCCTTTCTCTGACTACTTCCCATCATCGACAAATTACACCGCCCCTCTTCCTGGTTTACAGGAAAAAGAAACCATGTAGTGTGGCAGCACTGGGAGCCCTCATTTTTGCTTCTCACCAGTCGAGTACCACACACGTGGTGGGTTAGGGCAGTTTGATAAAATGTGGCATAGCAAAGAAGAGCATCTGACAAAGAAATCTGGAGCTAAGAAGGCATTACCAGACAATGTCATGGTGTTTTACTTTGCCAGTGACCAAATGGAGCCCTACGTTCAGGTAAAGGACCATTATGCTGAATTTGATTATGTTTTGGATGAAACCCTATTCTTGGGATAGGAGGAAGGGAGATGATTTACCGATTTTACTTTTTTTTTTTAATGACTGATTTTACCATGTAAAGTATAAATCTCATTTGGAATGACCTGTTATGGTTTAGCTCAGGGGCGTCAAACTAATTTTTGTCGCGGGCCACATTGTTGTTACGGTTTCCCTTAGAGGGCCGTTATGAATTTTGGGAAACCGTATAAATGTTTAATCACCTCCACATATTACATACACAGCGCACAGCAAATTGATGGATAACTAGTTTTAAAATCAGAAGTCAAGAATAATTACTGTTATTGTGGATTACATATGACAATTAGAAATTTTGGTTCAGACTTTATCAAGCATCATGGAACTTAACATGCTTGATTTGCTTTCGCAGGCCACATAAAATGATGTGGCGGGCCATATCTGGCCCCCGGGCCTTGACTTGGACACCCGTGGTTTAGATGTTTACTTTTCAGCTATGATGTGGTGGCAACTACTGTAAGAATGACTGAAGACAATCAAAAAACAAACGAGCAATGACAGTACAGCATATTTTAATCAGTGCTATCGACTTAAAATCCCTTTTTGCCTGTTGCTCTGTTCCAGATTATCACCGGAAAAGACCCAAAGCGCCGTTTGAGTCTGTGTAGTTCAGACTCTGAAACAGAGGAACCCGAGTACCAGGAGGAAGTGAAGAATGTTCTCCCTGTCCTTAGTGATTATAGCGAGCTTCTGGACGACAGACACCTACTAAGTGTAAGTGTTGCCTTTCATAGACTTTAAACTGACGCAAGAAGAGAAAATGACTGAACTGGCTCCATTACGAGTATTTTTCCTGACAACTGCCTTAACAACAAGCATCACTGATGTGACTGACGGCCTGTTTTTCCTCACAGCTTGCATCTCACATGCCAGAAAGAACACAAGGCTATCGGTGGCAACTGGTCTACAGCACCGCTGTCCATGGGAGCAGCCTAAAGACACTCTACAGAAACATGGCAGGTTTAGACAGTCCTGTGCTGCTGGTTGTCAAAGACATGCAGAAAAAGGTTTGGATCTGGGCTGTGCTAGAAGGAGAAGATGAATATACAGTTTCTATTGAAAACATGTCACCATGTTCAATCTGTCTTTCTGGCTTCAGGTTTTTGGAGCCTTTTCATCTGATCCGTTTAGAGTAAGCAAATATTGCTATGGAACAGGAGAAACATTTCTATTCACCTTCAACCCTGACTTCCAGGTACAATCTCCATTATTCGTTTGACCACACTTAAGCAGTGAATGGCCCGGAAGTGCAAATGTCCCATGTCTTTCAATTTGCCAATCATCCAGGCTTATAAGTGGACTGGAGAGAATTCCTACTTTGTCAGCGGCAACCTGGAGTCTCTTCATCTTGGAGGTGGAGGGTAGGTTGGAGTTACTCAGAATTTATGTGAAAAGTAGGAGAGCATCACGATGGAAGAAACAAGACTCAATTACAATTATATTTGACGGCTATGTGTGAGATGTCTAAATATGACTTGATTGTTTGGTCTCACCAGATAATGCTTATTTGCTTGTATAGGGGAGAATTTGGCCTTTGGATAGATGCGGATCTGTACCGGGGATCCAGTTTTTCATGTCCCACATTCCACAACGCACCGCTCTCCACACAGAAAGACTTCATCATTCAAGATCTTGAGGTCTGGACAGTGCAGAACTGAACAACAACATCTGACTAATAATGGAAATAAATTGGAAAGATCAGGGTGGATGCTTCCACCAACACCGCTGGACTGTATGTGGGCAGCAGTAGCTAAATGTGAGTGGGTGGCACTGAATGAGCAGGGGATGTAATAATGCCTCTCAGGCTGCTGTTTCCGGTCTGAGGTTATTCTGACTAAAAGACGATGGGTTGCATAGAATCCTGTGGTTTGCGGCACTGATGCCTTGAACTACTGCCTGCCATCAGACACCTACACTAAGCCTTAAGCCTTCCATGCCCTCCTGTTTTTTTGGAGAGGATTACAATTCAAAGTTCCTAAACCTGTTGGGTAAGAAACTTTGTGAAAACAAAGCACCTTTAGGATGAAAAGAAATGAGAAATAATCATACTTGTATGTATGTTGAACAGGCATGTTTGCATGTAACTTAAAACTATGTTTACAGTATGCGGACCTGAGCTGTTTCCAGCATTAATATACAGTGCATACCCTTTAAGGGAAATGATACGTGGTAAAACCACTTTAATGATGATGTGCCTCAAAGTGGTTTTGTTTTAACTTCACACGGAGAATCACTTGAAGATAAGTGCCAATCTGGATTGAAGAACCACAGTTGCTGGTGAAGGCCTATAAGGTCAAACGAAATTCAAGTTCTCAATTTTCTAAGGACAATATAATATCTGTGATGTGCGCTATTTGAATTGGAAATGAATCGCACTGTCGACAGTTGCTGTATTTTGTAATGTTTTTCCTGTGACTTTTCTATGGGTAAAATGTTGACAAAACATTTTTTTTATGTATTGTCTTTTTGCATTTTAGCATTTAAGAAAAATAAGACAGAAATAGGCAATTTCTTTCTTTATTTCTTTTTCTTTGTTTCTCTCTTTCTTTAACATTCCCTGGTGGTGCTGGCACTGCCAGTGTTTTTGTTTGGAACTACTATCAAAGCAATGTCTTTACTACTGACACTGAATAAAATAGCATATTTATTTGGACCACAATTTTTTTATCGAAATAACACATGCACCACCTGTAAAACAAATACCAGAATGTAGTCCAACGCTCATGCTGTTGGTTTGAATCACTTTAAGATTTTTTTTTTTTTTTTTTTTTTTAATGACACAATAGGTCTGGACCTCATTAAGAACCACTGGCAAATGGCCCTACTGCATTTTTTGCACCATTCTACTTTCCCTGAACACAAAAACAATGAAAATATTGCTAGTCAAAATGTATTTTCAAAAATGACATATTAGGTGCACGTGCACATATTTTCTCCATATTTAAAATAGCATTGTTGTCATTTATGTTAGCAGAGTTGCTTCACAGCACGTGCAGATTGGCGTCCTTCTGCCTAACATCCAAGAATGACAAGTTGAGCGAGGTGTTCCCATCAGCCATGTATTGGCGTGTTTTATTGAACAGGTGGAGAGGGGCGAAAAGAAAAGGCGTTTCCCTTTTATAGGGCCGACCACGTCACTCACTGTGAAACAAAAGTAGAGATATGTTGTCCTCTACTGGCTCAGTCGTAAAAGGCAATCATACAATCCCAACAATTTATTTGTTGTGGCTCGCTCCAGTATTTAAGTTTCAAATCCCCGTACTGTGCATCACAGTAATACACCACCAACGCGCTGCAAGGGCCAGTTTTAAGGATTTCCAGGATTGCAACCAGGAAGGTTCATTCAGACCTGTAGTTGTATGTCCAAAAAATTTCAAACAAATAAAATATGAATAAATTGTCACACCGCGGTGAGGGTTGCTTGTGTTTGTCTGGTCACTTCCTGTTTTATTTTGAAAGAATGGCTCTTGTCCTTTCATGTCATTTACCGTTCCTCCTATGCCAGTCTGATATCTGATTGTCAGCCCCACCTTGATTGTTTCCACCTATTGCCCCTTACCTTGTGTTTAAATGGTCTTTGTCTCGGTGTGTCCTGTGCCTGTGTGTTTCGTCCTTGTGCATGCACTCCGGCTTCTTGCCACAGATCTGACTAGTCTTTCCTTTGTTTCCACAACCTTGCCATTTTGTATTGTCAGTTGCTGATCCTCAAATAAATATATCTTTTTACTTTGAACCCTGCCAACCAGTGATAATTTTACAGTTTACCCCCAGCGAGTCCCAGGGACTCGCTGATCAGAAAAGTATGAGTCCCATTATGCATTTCGAGAGTCCCAACTTTCAAATTCTGAAATGGTCTTTTTATTCAATGCATATGATAATAACACAAATGACAACAATATACATTGATAATAGGTTTATTTCTTATCAACAAATGCTGCAAAAATTTAATTAATTCAGGTATGCAAGATTTGCCGAGAAATAGGTTCTTATTTCATCCCATGGTTCAGTCTTTGAGTTCATAAATTCTCCT